TAACCCTATATTTCAATCTTCAAGGGCTTACATAGTTAAAGAATGTTGTTGAATAACTATGATTTATTCAACACTTTACTCCATGAGTTAGCTCTTTTCCAGGTACTGCAGTCATGCTGTCATTAACAGATGTACCCCTAGCAAAAATGATGTCAAAATGGAGACAACCTAGTTACATAATTGTGCAAAATCTTTCAGAAAAGGCTTGTTGCAACTGCTATTCAAATAAAAGTTTACTACCTGAACTGAAAAATACAGTTAAATTAAAGAGTGACCATTTCAGAGGGATGATAAATTTATATATATAAACTTGATTCTCAGTTTATTACTTCAGATTTATAGCAGAGGAAATCTAATGAACATCTTGCACTCATAGCTTAAAACCATAATCTTCAAATATTTAATGCTCAAATAATAACAGCACCAAACAATGCATTCCTATGCCATATGACAGAGATGGCAATTAATGCTTTAAAAATGAAAAGTATATGAAATACTATCGCATATTTTCTTATTTATCAAAAAGGCTACAGCTAACAATTTCATTACATTTTCTTCCCAGGCAACTGTGAGGTAACTTACAGAGCACCAAGAATAATTTTTGAAGTTCTTTACAACCTCCCAGAGAATTCAAATATAATTTTTGAGAAAATGTTGAATCTTAATTATATTAACAAATATTTGTATGATTTCTCTTATTACTTAAACAAGCTGTGAAATATCTAAAATACTTCAGATAAACTATACTAGATGGTTTTTTGCCACTCTCTCTTTGCCTTTGAATTCTTAGAGGTGCTACCAACAAAGAAGCAATTTTTTCCCCTGAATAAGTAGCTGGATTCAATCTGATTTCTGAAACATCTGAGATAATGTGACTTTTTTCCCTCCATCAAAATGCTTTAGAAATACTGCCAAATAATTACTAATCAAGAAAAAAAAAAAAAAAATTGCAACTGAGCTGACCAGGGATCAGAAAACAACACTCTCTTCTCCCATAGCAAACAGCACTTCAGTGGTATGTCAGATTTAGCAAACAGTTGCCTAATTATTTACTGTCACAGCCAGAGACATGATCAGCAGACAGAATTTGGAGACACACAAATATCTGGTTTTCAATTTCTAAAACAACAAGGTACTTGGTATGGCATGATCTTCAAAATCTGCAGCCTACTTTGGAAACAGAAACAGAGGAAGGGTAAAATTTCACTTTTCTATGTTTACAAAGGGCAGCTTTTATCTTCCTAAGTCAAACTGCCTGAACATCTTAATGATGCGGCATCATACGATCCCAAGCCTTCCAAGACAGGCAATGAATTTTGTACAGCTGACTCTGCTAGTTACAGTACTCAACAGCTGGGACATAGATAATTTGGCACTCTGATAATGGCCTAGATGAGTATGAAGCATTCTGCAGACTGTACAAAGGAAAAAAAAAAAAAGAACTATCAGCATTAAAATTATAGATTGAAGCTCGTCTTATAAAGCCAACATAGTTCACATTTGATTAAGAAATTTACTGAAGGAGGTGTTTACAAAACTGAGAAATCCAGAGAAATGGCACTCCCTCTTCAAAGCCTATATTGTAGCAATTCTTTTCTGATTAGATCAGCTCCCATAGCAAGTCATCAGAACAACAATCGCTGTAGTGAAGTCATGCTACTGGGACTCAAATGGGAAATCATGACTGGCTTGAAAACACATTTTAGAAAGTAATGTGCTTTCCAGATTTCTAATACATCCTATTTAAAACAAGTCCAAACATTTACCTTTGCTCCAAATGGCTGAATAAAATCTACCTTGAGCAGCAAAACACAGCATACCAATATACAAAATATGACACTTAAAACTAAGACAACAGACATTGGATCCTTCCAAATAATTTCAGGATTCAGGGGTCACTGAAAAAGGCATATGAATGGACTTTGTGTTACTCCCACAATAAGATATACTCAAATACTTTCAGAAAGTGGTTTATTTCTTACAGAGATGTAAATTAGCTTTCAGAGTTTATTTAATTAAAATCCTATTGTTCCCCAACCTATAAAAAACAGACCTTTCAGTCCCATTCCTGATAAAACACCCATTGAAATAGGGGAAATTGGGCCTAATCTCTTTCCCAGAGAGAAAGAGATTTCCCTTGCTTTCTAAGCAAGTAATTGGTATGAGAAGAAACCTTATTAAGCCTAATTCTAGCAGGAAATAAAAGGTGATCCAAAGCAGAAAAACAAGCTTTCTCAGTGTTTATTTAAAAAGTAAACAGCCTACTAGCTCCAAAATTTTGCACAAATCAGATCAGCTGCATATAAATTGAGGACTTAAGAAAAATGAGAGAATGGAATAAAGACATGGTTGTGAAGATGATGGCAATCACCAAATGGTAATTATTTCTCAACCAAAAAGCACAAATGCATTTGAGTACAGAAACGGTGCACATGCTCCATTGCTGCATTGACACAATGGGCAACAGACACAAAGGAGTCATTAGTCAATACTGCTAATGACACATGAAATTGCAAGTGACACCAGTATAAAGTACACTCAGACCCAACAAGTTCCCATAGTCAAAATAACCATCTGTTGAGGGTTTATTATTCAAAATACTGCTACTAACAACACAGAATAAATAAAATCAATTATCAGTATCTTCAAATCAAGCCTTCTTAAACTATGCCACTCCCATTCCCATCAGTGGAAACCATTTAGCAAAAACCTTCAGGACTGATTGAAGACATACAGCTGAAAAACTTCAAATATGAAACATAACATCTTATTCCCTAACGTTACAAAAGGACTCAGCACTGCAAATGTCAGCATATGCTGTGACATGCTGTAAAAACTGTTTCAGGGATGAAGGTTCAGTGTGAACAGTTAACTCCATCCATTTCGCACTTGGATTAAAATCAGAGCTGTAACACTTAAGATAAGCTTCAGATTTAGTACTAGCAAATATACTGAAAAACAGCAGTGAATCATCCAAACCATCCCTTCCATCCCGATATCTTTAAGAAATCAATGCAATTTACATTTCTAGCAGGATTAATTTAGCTGCATACATCTTCACCCTGATAAATGCTTTTTTCCTTATTTTTCTGTATTCGATAACAAAACTCAGGTGCTACACGAACTAAGCTAATTCTTTGTCCCAGCCCAAAAAACCCCAAATAAATAAACAAATAGGTAAAAATAAACCGAAGCTTTAAATATGAGCGTACATCGAGACATAAATCCCTGTGTCCGTACTGCACTCGAAAAAGCGACTTTTAAACACGCGAGAGCGCCTGTCACACACTGGTGAGGTGACACGGTATTTATATCCATCGCACAAGCCGCCCACGTCCCTTGCCCCCAGACCGACCCTCACAGGGACGCGGGGCTACCAATCTTCCCCACCTGCCCCAGCGCCTCCCGGCTCCGCAGTCGCCACACCCGGCGTGGCCGGAGAGCGGCCGGGCGGGCGCGGCGGCGAGCGCTGCCCTACCTTTGTATCTCTCTAGGACATCTTCGTAGGCCTGCAGGTACTCCTGCTCCTCGGCATAGAAATACGCGCCAGGGGAGAGGTAGCCAGCCATGGCCAGCAGCTCGCCCAGCCCTGCGCGGCTCAGGGCGGCCGGCAGCCTCGGGGATGGCACAAGAAAAGCCCCGGCAGCAGCCGGCAGGGGCGGGCGGGGGGAGGCGCTGCCAGCCCGGCCGAGGAAACGCCCCCGCGGGCGGCCGCTCGGGTTTCGGTAGCCGCCCCTCGGAGCGCGGATGGGCGGCACCAGCCCGGCGGCGGCCGCCGCCTCCCCGCCGCAGACCCCGGCTCCAGCCCCATGGCCGAGGCACCGCCCGCGGGGCCGGCGAGCTCCACCGCCGCCTCCCGCCTCCCCCCGAGACGAGGAGGGTGGCGGCTGCCGGGGCGGGGACGCGACGCCTGCAGCGCTGACGGCGCCGGTGGGGACACTGCACTCTCGGGCAGGGACCGAGCGGGGAGGGACCCCAGGCCGGCAGCCGGCGGGGCCGGGAGCTCCCGCAGTCCCGGCGGGGCGGGCGCGGCCCTGCTGCAGGTGTCACCGCCGCGCCTGCGTTCCCCCGGTGTCCCCCGGCGCTGACCCCGCCGCCGGGCCCGCTCCGCTGCGGTCCCTGCTCCGCTGCGGTCCCTGCTGCCCTGCGGTCCCTGCCCCCGGCCCGCCGCTGCCCCGTCCTGCGCACCCTGCCCGCGGGGGGCGGCGAGATCTGCGGGCGGTCGGGCCGGCTCCGCACCCTGCCCAGGCGCGGCTGCATCCTGCGGCTGGTGGGAGCCCGGCTCCGCAGCGCTGCCCCCGCTAATAGCGCCGCTAGGAATAGTTACCCTGGGAAATGGTGTCCGGGAGGGACCCATGGAGACGCGTATATAATCGGGGTAGTTGGGGAGAACAACAGCGGTGTCCCCGGGGAGCACTGGGGACCGCCTCATCTTTCTGGGATTCATTTACAGGCGTTTTCCAGCTTTTGCCAGGGTGATGCGGACCTCCGCCCTATTTTCGACATCAATTGTTGCCGGGCCGCGGACCAGAGCCCGTCGGCGCCTCCGGCACACCGGGGCGGCTCCGTTCCGGTCCCCGTCCACCCCGAGCGCAGCCCCGGCCCCGAGCGGACAATGCCCGGCCCCGGTCCCCCGCCCCTCACGGAGCATCATCGGCCGCCGCGGCCTCTCCCCGTGCTGCGGGCGGTCCCGCGGCGCTTCCACCCAGGGCGGCCGGGGGCTGCCTCGGCCTTGTGGGCCGAAAAAAGCGCCGGCCCCGCTGAGCCGCCCCTCGCCGCGGCTGCAGCCCCCGGCCGCTGATGCTTTTTCGCATGAAAGTTTAATGGGCGCACCTGCGCGTGTTTCGGCTCGCCTTCCACACGCATCAGTTCACCCAGCCGGAAAAGGCGGCCAAAGAGCTTAGTCACCGCCCGGCGGGGCCGCGCTCTGAAAGAGAAGGGACGGGGGTCCCCTCTGCCCCCGGCCGCCCCCTGCCCCGCCGGCCCCGACCGCGCCTTACCGGCGATGCGCAGCACGGCCCGCTCGGCGGGGTCCAGCACTGAGCCGCCCTGGATCTTCCGCTTGGACCGCTCGTGTTTGGGCAGGTTCCAGGGCAGCGTGTCCCCCGGCGCCGGCGACACCGTCCCCGACCTCTGGCTGAAGTCCTCCTCGTCGGAGAAATCGGCGGAGGACGACATGGAGCATCGGTAGGACGCGTTGCCGGAGCTCTGCACGGGGAGACAGACAGACAGACAGGGTGCGTGGGGAGCAGCTCGGGACGAAGGGCCTCAGGTGGCGCCGGCGAATACCGGCCCCGCGTGGCGTGGAAAAACATCTCACGGGAAAAGGAGGATAGGGGAGAGGGCCGCCGCTCACCATTGGTGTGAATTTAGAGGGGGGAAAGCGTGCGTGTGCGGCGTGCCGAGGGTGATCCCCCAAAAAATAGCCGGTCTTTAGCGGGAGTGCATTTGGAGGGATGTCGGGCTAGAGCCGTGGCCTGCGGCTGGGCAACCAGCTCGCAAATGAGCCTCCCACTTCCCCAACAATAAACCCAGCAGCAACAACAGCCGAAAAAAAAAAAAAGCCACCAACCTTCCCGGCTACAGATCGAAGGCGTTTGGCTCCCCCGCCAGGACAAGGGGAATATTTGCCATCACCGAGCTACTGTTAAATCCGCCCCCGGGACAGACCCAGCCCCGCCGGGAGCCAAGGCGGGCTCTTCATTCATTACCGCCCCGGCCTCCCCCTGCCCCGCGCTGCCTAACGGGGGGCGAGGCTGGCTAACGGGGACGGAGCCGGGGACGGAAGGAAGGGACACGATTCCTTAGAGCAGCCCCTTCGGGCATCAGGGCACGATGGGCAGCCTTAAGTCACACTTTGCCAGGCGACTTCGGCAAAAAAACTACTGATCTCGGTGTATAAACTGTATTCACTTTTAGGCTTCCCAGCTACTCAAAAAAGAGCTCTTCCGGAAACGTAAATAAACACTGATGCAGGGAGAGGACTGCTGCCATGTCTGGCTTCCCTGTTTATGGTAAAGTGGGAAACGGAGATGTGTGAACAGTTCGGCACCGTGTTGAAATTTAAGGTACATCATTAAACATGTGTTATCAGGACACAACGGACAGCAAGGTGCTATTACTTTTACTCTGTAACTTCAGATTGAAGGGATTTGTGGTTTCTCCAAGGCATGACACAAGAAAATGATAGGTGTGATTTGTCATTTCATGTGGGAGCTACTGTTACAGCCCCTTTCAAAAGTGCAACCTGATGCTTATCCAATTATTTTAAGTTTTAGGTGTGTGCTGTTGTCAACTTTTACAGGTGCAGTAGAATCATAGGCTCACATAATTGCTTGAGTTGGAAGAGACCTTTAAAGACCATCTAGTTCCAAACCCCTTGCTGGGGGCAGGGACACCTTCCACTAGACCAGGTTGCACAAAGCCCCATCCAACCTGGCCTCGAGCACTTCCACAGCTTCTCTGGGCAACCTGTTCCAGTGCCTCACTGGAACTTCATAGTGAAGGATTACTTCCTTATATCTAATCTAAATCTACCCTCTTTCAGTTTAAAACCAGCATATTTTGTTACACAGCAACAGCCCCATTCAGCCATTCTAGAGTCCAGATTTGATATTAAGCCAGATAGTATTTTAGGCTTGTATTGCAGCCCTTTTCACAATTTTTTTTTTCTATAAAGGGGCCTAAAGGGTACCTTTTCTTAAAGAAGAAATTTGTACAGCGATTGAGATATGATGAAATGTATTATTGTTGTCTAATTTATTTTTTTTTACTGTCAGCTGTCATGGGGGGTATTTTACCCATTTAAAACTCAGAATCTGCATAATCCAGAGAAACAACATGATGCGCTCTTTGCTCTGCATAAAATTTAAAAATAATATATAGTTAAATAATCTGTTATAATAAGAGGAGATCACTTATTAGTGTTTTTCCTTCTATTAGTGTTTTGTCCTCTTCACTTCTATCCCAACTCCCTTTTCTCCTTGTCGAGTACTCCATGGTGAAGTTTGAAATGTGTGAGTTGTGAGAGAGGGAGTGAATACATAAAACCAATTAACTGAATTCTTGTTCACTGTATTGTGATGTAGAGAGAGCAAAAGGTAAGTGCAGAAAAACAGAAACATGAGATGTCTGATACCAGCTCAGATTTCTTTCATAATTACTTTTAGTGCAGAGACTATTTGGCTGTCAGTTTATATAATAAACTAAAACTGGATCTCATAAAGCAAGATGGTCACATATAGGTGTCTTCCTGATAAGAGCTGGAAGTGCTCAGCTTGCTGCAGAGCACTTTGCTGTTCCAGCTGGGGCTACCAGGGCCTCTCATGTGCTTAGTCAGGGATTAGGTTCCTTTGAGCCTGTCCTTAGCCCCAGATTTTGCCATAGAAGAGAAAGTGTTGCCTTTAATCCCAGCTCTGAACATCCTGCTTCAGGCCTGTACCTTCTTTTGGCTGATCAGCAACCCTCAGTATCTTTGGCTCACACAGACCCACAGAGACAGATTCTGACTTTCATCTTTTTCACCTTCTGCATTTCTAGCTTATAGTATGAAAGTTTGAAAGAGACCACAGTGTTGTGTGGTGCTATAGCAATAGTTTGTTAGTATTTATGTAGCATTTTGAAATATGCAAGAACAAAGTACAATAGCAATTGCTATTGAAGTTTTGGGGAAAGATCTCTCAACTCTCAGATTTATTTTTGAAAGTAAGCTATAAATTTTATCCATTAGGGTTTCCTTTTTTCAAAAGAGGCCTTCACAGCCCATTATTACATTTCATAACATCTCCTCTGACCTGTAGAAGCCAAAGGCACTGTTGAGTGGTCTTTCATTGTGCACCATCAGTCTACTGAGATGTCAGTTTTAGGGAAAAGGAGTCTGCCTTTTAGTCTGCTCTGCTACAATACTGGAACATAAGCTATGTGAGAAGACTCCACTCATATTTTATGAGAATCAAACTGAACAGGAAATGATAGAGCAGTGTTTGGCTTCTGTGTGTATTACAACTAGCTATCTGCTTTTAGGTTATCCTACCTTAATTGATACATGCAGTAACCAAATGAATAATCAAAACCCCCTTTAGCTTTTTAACTCTTCAATTACCATGTTGTTTCATTTTCAGAGCAATGTAGGAAGTTCAGAAAGGAATTTTTCATAACAACAAAATCCAGAAAACATTAAGAAATGTCAACTTCTAACTTAATGACAGTCTATTTTCTTATTCAGCATGGAGATACTTCTGAGTAATGCATACACAGAGATATTGAACACCTAGGTATTTTTTACTTCGCTATTCCAAAGGTGTTTATAACAAACTGAACAACTTTGAGTAAATTAACAGTTTTGATATGAATTCTGTAATTGTTCCTCTTTTGCACACAGGCACTGTTTGTGTACCATTCATCCCACTGGACTCTATGTTTCTAGCATACACATTTTCCGTGATAGAGTTGTAAGTCCCAAATAAGCATTCCATTATCAGAGCAACATATTAAGCAGCTTAAAAAATAGGAAATAAAGCAGAACATCTATACTATTCTGAAAAAAGTTCCTGGCCCATTAGGACAACATGTAGGGGAAAAAAGGTTGTTACATTCTGTTAAAATCAGAATATGTAAGGCACTTCTGTTATTTCTGTATAAATTACATGGCTATGTGCAAGTGAAAAACATCAGTTAATAACACACAATGATTTTTGGGGGGCGATGTGAGTGAAGTGTCTCTTAGATCCCCCAAAATATTGATCATCCTTACTTAGCCTACTCTTAGGGACTTGGCAAGGGTCAGGACTTGACTGGTCTTAGCTTGAAGGCCTGTAAGGTCACAGCGCAGTTGCTGTAGCTGTTTATTCTCCGCCTCCGATAGCGCACTGCTGCAGCCTGAGGCCTCTCTGCATCCCCGTGGCCGCTCCGCAGGAGCGGCTGCAGCCGCAGCGCTCTTTGCGCGGGCACTGAGGGCGCCGCAGCCCCGGGAGCTCGGCCCGGCGGAGCGGGCAGCATCCAGAGGCGGGATCCAGGCGGGGATCCCTGGCACGGCTGGCTGCCGGTGCCGCACGGGGGTGCACAGCGCACACCAGTGCCGGGAGCGGCGCAGAGCCGAGCTCCCTTTGCCGCTGCCGGCGGGCTCCCGCACATCAGGCGATTTGCAGGAGCCGCCTGAGAGTCAGCTGGCAACCGTGCTGTAAAAGCGAGCTGGTTTCCAGTAACGGGGATGATTTCAAAGAAGCATTTCGTATACTTGTTAGAGGGATTCGGCCAAGTTGCAAGGCATGATTTCCCCCGAGGAGGGAAAGAATTGCTGTTTGTCATAGGTGAGGCACTGCAGAAGATCAGGGAGAGACTGAGCGGAAGATGCTGTAGCTGGCAAATGGTGTAGAGCGTTGCACACCACCAGAGAACAGGAAAGCACCTGGAAATAGGAGGTGATGAAAGGGTCGAGAACAGCAGGGACTGCACACTGTCATTCCTGGGGGAGGGAAGCATCAGCCGAGGTCAGGTTTCAAATTCGGTCAGGCAAACCAGCTGGGAAAAGCTGCTGCAAGGCTGATACCAAATTATCTTCATATTACAAAAATTTCCCAACCCTATGACACATCAGAGATTGTGCTGGCCAGCTGAATTCTAATCAAATAGTTTGTACTTTCACATTTTATCTTTAAGAAGATTGTCCACTGCAGTGAGTCCTTTCATGCTGCTTTTTGGAAGCTGTGGGAAGTACAAGTCAACACTGACTGACATTTAATTTTCAGTTTAGTAATGAGTCATTTATATTTCACTTATACTAAACTATCTCAGAATTCCTGGAATATATTTTTTCTTTTATTATACTCATTGCAGGAAATGGATAAATATCAACAGAAATTAAGCACTAGAATAATGATTTTACTCAGTGTGCTTCAGCAAAATTCCTTTTAATTTAAAATAATTTAGAATATCCATTGAAAGCGAATGGCTATTTTTGTCCTTTAACATGCCAGACTGAATGCTATCAAAGTGGATCAACTTTTAAAGTAAAATAACAAATTTAAGACAAAATCTAGGGCAACTGAATGTTCCCATTAGTAAATCTTTACCACTTTAACCTGGGTAGATGATAATGAAATGCAGAACACAAAACATCCAAAATGTATGTAATCAGGCTATGTGAGTCCTTGGGACTGCATGTTGTCAGAAATGATCAAAATTCAAAACACACACAAATTAAAGTACCA